AAGAGGGACAGAGAAACTCAAGCAGACTCCACGCTGAGCATGGAGCCCACCATGGGGCTTGATCTCACGACCCTGAGATCACGACCTGAGCTGAAACCAAGAGTTGGACGCTTAACCAACTGCACCACCCAGGTGCCCTGGGGAACTCGGTATTTAATAGATAGTCATAAATATTAGTTGGATTCAAAGGCAAGCTAGAATGTTACAAGCCTTTAACTGAAAAATTACAAAAATATTAGTGGTGGGAAAGGATGACTCCTTTCAAATGTTCCCTGGTTTTCCTTTACCCAAACTATGTTTATTTGTGTGTGATCCCCATATTAGTGAAAAAAACATGTGCTCACTGATATATGTGTGTAGATACAAAATGGACACTGTCACCCTCTGTATGGAGCGTACGACTCTGCAGTCGAGCAGGACAGACAGACAAATATTATCATTTGAAATATAACTCCAAGAGCTCATCTGGGCTCTTGTTCTGGATGAGGAGAAAGGTCTCGAGCTATTACCGATAGCTACGGTGATTAAGGTTCCCTGAAAAGGTCAGAATTTCCTAGAGTGTCTCATTTCTCTCATTACGTGGGTTTGCGTTGCTCAGGCTCATACAACGAAGCAGCAGCTTCTTGCTCACATGCTGCCTCTGTAATAGAACAGTTCTTGCTTTGCTACCAACAGGGCTGTTCTGTTCCTACTCTGTGTTCATCTTGTTTTGGTAATGCCAAACTGTAATGGTGAAAATTCTGGAAGACCATTCCTCTGAGGTCATGTTCTTTAGAGTCTACCTAGAAAAAGCAGAAGTATGAACTGAGCAGGGGAGATTTCAAAATTCATTGGCTCAGAATGTGCCAATATGCCCTATGAATAAGCAAGAATGAGGTGGGGTTCACAGAGCAAGATCTGGGTACCTAGACAGGAAGGAGTGAAAATGTTAGGTGTGTTGGTACCTAGGGGAGAAACTACCGAGTGGACACAATGTATTCCAGTCTGTTTTGTGGGTCTAGGCTCATGTCCAGTGGGAATAAAATCTCTTCTTCTATAACTGTTTGGCTCTGCCAAATCTCCCTACCCCAACCCCGGGTTCCCACTACCCCACCACTGGGGTGTCCAATGTTATTCCTTTGATTTAAGGCAATTATAGCCTAGGCATTCTCTTTGAATGTATGAGAGAAGTAATGCCTCATGGAAATGATTTTCAAATCTTTCTCTCTTTCTTTCTTTCTTTCTTTTTTTTTTTTGGTCTTAACAGAAAACCCCTTTTGTTCCTAATAATAAAATCTGCTCTGGCTGAAACAGGGGAGGGGGCCTGAGCCTTCCCCTCAGGCTCACCTTTGCTGGGCTGGTCTCCGAGACATTCGTGCAGAAGCCCTAGGGTGCTGAGAACACTGTTTAAAAAGCTCTGTTACCAACAAACCAACCATACAAACTCATTGGTGGGACAATTGGGGAAACTGGAATATGTCCCGGGGATTAGGTGAAACAAAGGACTTATTGCTGATTGTGTTAGGTATGATACGGTATTATGGCTATGCGAGAAAGTAAATGGTATTATAGTTATGTGAGAAAATGTCTTTATTTTTTAAAGATTCTTATTCCATGATGTCTGGGATTTGCATAAAGAAGAAGTAAATATGGAAACATGAAAATAATGTTACAACCAGGTGGTACTATCATAATATTCTTTCTGAAAAACGCAAAAGCAATGCTTTCGGCTGTGATAGTCATGGGCACCACAGAAGGAAGGAATAGGTTACCCACACAAGTTCTCCTCTGAGGCCTCAGCAGCCGGTTGCAGAGCAGGGCACCGAGGCCATGGGGGGGGGGGTCTCCTGCATCCCCTCCAGCCACTCACCACCCGGAGTGTTGGCAGGACACCCCAAAACTCTCCTTAGGTAAAGGACGCACAACATTCGTTAACATTAGGTGCTGAGCTGGCCCCAAGCACATCCTCCTTGGTCGTTGGGCCCCTCCTGCCTGTCTCCTCTGAGTAGGCAGGAGCCCCTCTGTGCCCTGCTCTGCCCTGGCACCTGTGGCCTGACAGGAGAATGGAGCAGATCAACGTGTGCCTCTTCTCCGTCTCCCGGGTATCCAGGGATCCTGGGAGAGCGGCTCTTGTTACCAGGAAGCTGCCAGAAGCCTGCCGGGACAAGACTGCCCTTTCCCTTCAGAGACCCACCTTCGACGGCCCACCGGCCAGAGCCAGAGCTGTTCTCGCTCCTCCTTGCTCTGCCCTCTGCCATCGTCAGCCTGGGAAGCCGAGCTGTAGAACCCGAGAAGGGACTTCTGAAATCAAGAAGTACAGCGTCCCAAACAGAGCAGGAATCCCCTCAGACATCACTGATGGGGGTTGGAGGGGGGTCACCTGGCTTCCGCTGAAATGTTTCCGTTTGAAATCCTTCCCACAAACATTCACAGAATGCTTCTCTGTGTCGGGCACAGCACAGGACACTCATCAGGATCAGAGGCCAGAATATCTCCCAGGGACAGTGAGAACTCAGGAGCGAACAACCACGAGACTACCTGCAACCCGGGACCCTTAGATGCCTTGGCCTCCGACTGCAGACCTGCGGCTGGAGTGGACACTGCCCTGGGCAGAGCTGGGGGCTGGCAGGTGACTCTGTCCCTTGGTGAGGATGCTGCTCGTCAATATTCTGCTCCTTAGCTTTGCCAGGTCAGGAGCTCAGGTCGTGGGGGATACAGGCCTGTGCTAATCACACCTCCCAAGAAGCAGGCGTGCCAGAAGGCCAATCTGCAAATGAGTAATGAATGAGCATGGCTGGCCAGTAACCAGAATATTCACATCTGTCTTCCGAGACACCCATGTCCCGAAATGGAATTTATAACCAGGACGTTGCTTGGTGAACACAGAATCAGCCCAAAGGAGGGGGGTGCCTGAGAAGGAGGATTTACTCAGGCTGTGGAGAGAGAGGAAGAGCCCCACTCAGACCTCTCCACACCTAGAACACCTCCAGTGGACTCTTTTCACGATACGCTTCTTTCTTTCTTTTCTTTTTTTTTTTAAGATTTTATTTTATTTATTTGACGGAGAGAGAGAATGTGAGAGAGGGAACACAAGCAGGGGGAGTGGGAGAGGGAGAAGCAGGCTCCTCACGCAGCAGGGAGCCCGATGTGGGGCTCGATCCGAGGACCCCGGGATCATGACCTGAGCCGAAGGCAGACGCTTAACAACTGAGCCACCCAGGCGCCCCATGATATGCTTCTTTCTAAACACCTATTCATCCATTAGCCACATAACACCATTTCGAAAGATTACAGCTGTGTTCATGTCAATCGTGCTTTCCTGACATTGCCTTGAGATTCTGGGGGAGGGTGGGCGACTTAATGCCCCCTGGGAAGCTCCCTGTACCAGTTCTAGCATCTCCATTTTTTAATTAAAAAAATTAATCGCAGTAGAGTTGACGTATCACATATGAGTTTCAGGGCGTACAACACAGCAGAGACAATTACATACATTATGAAATGCTGACCACAAGTGTAGTCACCGGCTGTCTGTCACTCTTCAGGGGTGGTGGGGAAAGCAGCTTGGCAGTTCCTTCCCTCATCCAGTGCTGCGTGATGATGAGAGAGGTTCGAACAGGGCTCCCAACGTAAACGCGACAAGGGCCAGGTATGACTATGAAGGAGTGAAGCAGGCTGGATGAAACAATGCTTTCAATAGGAACTTCCATATGAATATGCTTCTGAGCGCTCTTTGCTAAGAAAAAAATGGCACAGGTGTGAGGATCCATGGCAGCCGGTGCTCAGGGTGGTGAGGGGACAAAGGTGAGTCCTGGGGAATCTGGCAAACTGAAGAGGGCCTGTCCCTTCTCAAAATGACCACCTCTCAGGTCCATTGGAGGGCGGCCACATGGGAAGTAGGTCCTGAAATGGCCAGATCTGATTTTTTTCAAGAGAATTTGGTAATCTGGATTTTTAGGTGAAATCACCTGATTTTTTAAGGTGGCAACCAGTTCATTTTTGCGAATGTTCCATGAAACAAACAAAACGTGCCAGGGCCAGATTCAGTCAGTCAGTCAGTTTGAAACTTCTGCCTTGTATGCGTGATTACCTGTTTTAGAAAATGCTGGCTTAAAAAAATAAAATAAGAAGCAAAAAACAGGGAGATTTTTGTTGTTTTTTAACTATAGAACTTAACAGGGCTAGGGCACCTGGGTGGCTCAGTCGGTTGAGCGTTTGCCTTCAACTCAGGTCTTGATTCCGGGGATCCTGGGATCGAGCCCTGAGTTGGGCTCCCTGCTCATCAGGGAGTCTGCTTTTCCTTCTGCCCCTCCCCACCTGCTCATGCTCTGTCTCTTTCTCAAATAAATAAAATCTTTTTTTAAGAAAAAGGACTTAACAGGACCTTTTAGATATTGATAAAATAGATAAATACTGATAGATACTGATGGGTATTTGGATTTCCAACTCAGGCTCATTGCATGGTCTAAAATCAGTGTCTAAAGATGGCTAACTGTGTCCATTTTCAGCTGCTCATTTGGCTTCACGTTAGCCTGTGGCTTTTCCTGACCTCTCCCTTGAGCCAAGGGGTACATTTTTCTGAGGTCTCAGAGTCCGTGCACCCATGCAGACAGCATTGGAACTCACAATCAGAGACTGCCTGTCCCCGCTCTGGAGGGATGTTCCCATTTCTTACCCAGCTCAATTTTCTAGATTCTAGAACAATTCAGCTCTATCCAGAAGCTGCAGTTTCTCTTCACCGGTCAGTTTGACCTCCCGCAAGGACTGCCCTCATTCTTGCTTTTATCCCATGTTCATCATCCCGTGTCAAATCTGCCTCAAAGCTCATCACCCCCAACCCCTCCCAAAGTACCTCCTGACTTCCTTCCACCCACCCTGCCTCCCTCGCTGGTTCTGATAACCTCACAGAAAGACTAAGCCCATACTTAGGGCCCGGCAAAGCAGAAACCAAAAAGATAAGAAAAGCGCAGCTGTAATGAATGTATCCAGAAAGAAGCTTTTTAAATGTCAACATCCATGTGAACCTTCAGTGTTGTTTTATTTTGAATTATACTCAGAGAAGGCAGACCATCCATCCTCTTTTCAGGGCTTGGGGCCTCTGCTAGCATAAACGGAATCGGTTTTTTCGGACTGTTTTTACTTGGTTGTCATCTACAGCTTTCCAGCATCCAAAAGGAATTGGTGACGGCCTGCCATAAAAAAAAAAAAAAAAAAAAAGCCACATCTATGACGGGGGTTGACATGTGGCATCTGTCCCTCCTCTGCAGCGCCCCTGCGCTCACCTCCAGCCAGGCATACCGCCGACACCTCTGACCAGACCTCCTGCCTCCAGCGTCCCTCTCAAGGCCATCCTGGGCAACTGCTGCCAGAGTCATCTTTCTGTTAAAACACACGGTGATTATACTACCTTCCTGCTTTGGGGCCATTTCCACCTGCTTGGCAAGCTGCCTAAGACATAAACTACACTTCTTATTACTTCCGATGTCCTGGTGACTCTCAGACTTTGATGGGGAATTTATTTCAAATGCAACCGCCTAGTTCTCATCCCCAGAGACTCTCAGCTGGGAGGACCAGGCTGAAGTCAGGAAGCCGCCTTGTATTTCCGGTCAAGTACCCCCAGCAGGTTGTGGTGCCTGGAAGTCTATAGACTACGAACTGAGAAGCGTTATCTTGTAAATCTGGTCAGGACCTGGTAGCAGCTGAACCACCTGCTCCTCCGGATCTAGAGAAGATTGCCTGAACGCCGACGCCACACACTGTGTGACGTCCACAGGCCCTCGCTCAGCCCCGGTCACCCTGGCTCCAGTGTCGAGCCTGCTAAGTGCTCATTTTGCATCATGCGGTTTTTCCTCGAGCTCGGCCTCCACGGTGACCAGAATGAAATATGTACAAACCAGGTGTGAATTTAGGTCTGACTCTGGGAAGGGGACATGGGTGAGAGCCAGTGTGGGCGACATCTTACAGAGTGGCATGGCCTCTCAGGATGAGTTCTGTCACCTCACGTTCCCACAGTACCCTGCAGTCTGGTCCCATGTGTGGCATGCAGACATCCTCTGCGGGGCAACTGCCAAGCCCAGCTGCTGACTGGGACTCAAGCTCAAGATCTGTCCCCATGAAACTAATCTGGCCTATGACTTTGAACTTCCTGGCCCCCTTGGCTCTGAATTTTCAGAATCAGAGCTCTTTCTTGGGTTAGGTACTGTTTTTCAGACGGCCTGTTTTAAACATAAGTTATCTCCCGAGAGGGGTAGTATTTAGCTTTAATAGCTCAGCATGGATCAGGATAGGGAAGAATTGTTCCACCAGAGAATCATGAAAGAGGCACTGCAGGTACCTAGAGCTCAACCAATCCAACCACCCCAGCTTACGTGAGAGGAGATTGAGGCCAGAGTGAAGAGGTGACCTCATCACGGGCTCACCGAACCTCTGACGGTAACAAGGGAAGAGTTGTGTTTCCCAGCTTTAGAGCCAATGATCTTTCCTGATCCATCTTTCCAGCAAGTGTTTGTTGAGCACCCACCATGTGCCAAGAACCACGGTAAGAGCTAGGGATACTATTATCGAGGATGAGTAATAGACCCCTTGGTCATTTCAGGCTGCCTACCTGTACACATTAGCAATGGGAACGAGCTCCCCCCGCCGCCCACCTACTGGTGGGGGCACATAATAGGGAAGTGTTGATGAGTGAGAAGATAAATGGAGAGGAGTGTCTCTAATGTGGGCTACTGTCTACCCATCCACCAACCCAACCTGGGCAGTAAAGCCATGGGGTAGGGATCCCTGGGCTGCTGGGCATGGTGTTGGTACGCTGGGAATGTGGAGGGAGATTGGGACAAGAAGGGTAGGAAAAAGAAGTGCAGATCTCTAGAAACAGGCTTGTGAGGGCCCTGAGCACAACCTCCCCCTGCCTCCTTGCATGTAAGCTGAAGCAGGTGGTGGGGCAGGTACGTGGGCCTTCCTAAGGATACATCTTGACACTACTTCTCTGGGGCAGGGCAGGGGGGAGCACCGGAGGAGCAAGTGGCACTTGGCAGTTGTTCCCCACCATCCCCCCCTCTCGGGCTCAGCAGCTGTGCCCCTCCCTGCTCTGGTCCCCACCCCAGGGCCACTCTCTCTAGAGCTCCTAGCTTCAAGCACTCAAGCCTACTAGTCAGCGGGGGACCAGCTTTCCCAGAAACTTGGAAACTATGTTGTGCACTTGATTCTCTGGGAGTCACTGCCATCATTTTATTAAATTCCAAGAAAACTTAATGGAGATCTGATAGCTACAATGAGCTTAAAAGAAAGACTAAAACTTTCTCATGGACTGATGATAACTAATAGGAGAAGTTTCAATCATCCTGCAAAGGGAGTCAAGGGTGGTGCTATTTGAGCAGAATAGAGTCATCTCCTGTTCTAAGAAGCCATGCCAGAGAGCTAAGCACCCTTTGGAGACTCAATCCCAGCACCAGTGGCACCATCCAGCACTAACTTGGCCTCTCCTCCTTTGGAGCTGAGCTCTTCCCTGGAGCTGGGCATGGGGACCACCAGATTGTATGAAGGGCCACTCATTTTTAGCTGCCTGCTATGTTTCTGGTCACTGGATGCCCTCATCTGCACCTCTCACAGCCACGTGTTCAGTGGGATGTGGTCTGAGAGGTTCCCAAAGATGCTGCACACGGGTAACTGGAGCCTGGCCTTGTGGGGCTCTTGGAATTCTCAGTGGGATTACAGTCACTCCCTCCTCTACTCTCCAGAAAACCGGTCAAAAGGCAGATTATATACTACGCACATCATTATACTCCTCTTTCTACTTTTGTGAATATTTAAAATTTTCTACAATAAAGTTGGAAAAAAAATGAAGGAACATTAACCAGCAAGGATATTTCATTTACTCATTTGTGCCCATTAAATTGTGAATTCACATGTGACAAAAGTTTATTGAGCTTCTGTTATACACAAAGCACTGAGTTGGCCTTATTAGCTTTAGTGCTGAAACTTTTGGCTCACAGCAGTGGATCAGATCTCTGTGGATGAGCCCTGGGCCGATTTTACACTTTGTTCAGGAGATTCTCACATACAGCCGGAGTGGAGAGCCACTGCCCTGAGGGGGTGATGGGGAAAAGAGCAAAGAACAACACATGGGTGGGCTTGGGTCCTGACTCTCACCTCCGATATCCATGTGATGTTGAGAACCTCACTTGTGTCTTTGGCTTTCAGGTTGGACTTTCTTCTGGAAAATGAGAGCATGGAACTTGATAGTCTCTGAGTTCCTTTCCATCACTCCTCCGCCTCTTGGCCTGAACCAAAATATAAGTCCCTTTCAACTCCAACATTCTGTGACTGTACAAGCTATTTTATGGCAAGAGGAACGAGTGGAGACTTTCTGGGAGTCCCTGAAATCAGCACTGATTCATCTATCCTCCTGCCCTCTACATCTACCCCTTTTACTCATTGGGTCTCCATCAATCTTGGAGTTAAACCAACTTAACAGAAGACAGTGGAAACAGCAAGGCCTGCTCCCGGCTGTAAAAGATGCATTAGTCCCAGTAATGGCCCATCTTCCCCAGACCACTTCCGCCATCTAGACTTTTATGGGACTGTGAATCTAGGGTTACCCAGGCAGGCAGAAAGGCCAGTGCCTGATGGATGATGAGTGCGACAAAAGGGTACTATATGCTCACCTACCAAAGGGAAGGCCAATAGGTAATGCTTAAAACCCAAAACTGAAGAAGTAGCAGTGTATGTTTGTTATTTAGAAATACAGAGGTTGATAGCAAATAAATCTAATAATGAGTTTTAAAAGGTGACCTCTGTCAAGAAATACCACAAATCAAGTAAAAATATCAATGACAAAACAAGAAAAAATATTTGAAATTCAAATATCAGACAAGGGTTCATTACCGAAATATATAAAGTTTCCAAAAGAGAAAATAAAAAGACCAACAATCACAGAAAAATTCACTAGAGATATCAATAATCATTAGAAAAAGAAGTAAGAATGGCTCTTGACAGGGACACCTGGGTGGCTCACTCAGTTGAGCATCTAACTCTTGATTTTGGCGCAGGTCATGATCTCAGTTGTGAGACTGAGCCCTGCTCCAGGGCTCTGTGCTCAATGGGGAGTCTGCTTCTCTCCCTCTCCCTCTGCTTTTTCCCCCTGCTGGCACATGCATGCTCTCTCTCTCTCTCTCTCTCTCTCTCTCTCTCTCTCCCTCTCCCTTTCTAAAATAAAATAAATAAATCTTTAAAAAAAAAAAGAATGACTCTTGACATTAAGATGCTCAACCTCACTCGTAATAAAAGGCACACAAATTAAAACTATACGAGATACTATTTTTATCTTATCAGATTGGCAAAAATCCAAAATTTAAGAACACACTGTTGGCAAGACTATGGGGAAATGGGTACCCTCATACATTCCTAGTGGGAATGCAATTGGGCCAGTCCCTAGAGAAGAGAATTTGGCAATATATAGTAAAACTATTAATGCAGATACCCTTAACCCAGCAATCTCATTTCTAGAAGCCTACCACAAAGATATACTGGCAAAGTGTAGAAGGAAATATATACAAGGCAATTTATCGAAGCATTACTTGTAATAGCAAGACTGGATACGATACAACCAAAATCCCCACTAAAGGGGATTGGATGAATAAAGTATGGCAAGTCCACAAATTGGAGTGACAAGCAACTGCAAAAGGGAAAGAGAAATAACTATGTTCTCCTATGAAGTTCTGTTCTCTGTACGTTTGTATATAGTTAAAAAAAATTTAATAAAAAAACTTTAAAAATAGAAGAAAGTTATTACCTCTAGGGAGTTAAAAAATAGAACAGTTTTGGGGGAGTTGTTTTTCTTTCATAATCGCTGTAGAATCATTTGGCTTTTTATACTATGTACATGTAAAAATAGGTATATTTAAAAATAAAAGTGCAGAAGACCACCATAAATACAATACTTAATGGTGAAATTTTAGAAGCAATCTCATTAAAGTCAGAAATATCAATAATGTCTGCTCTTCAAATTTGTAGTAGAGTCTTAGCCATCACAATAAGGCAAGAAAAAGAAATGGACTGGGAATAAAAGACAAAGAATGATCATTGTTTGCAGACAATATTAAATGCACAGATAATCCAAAATAATTTACTAATAAGAGTGTGTAGCAAAATTGCTGAATATAAAAGCAAGACACAAAAATGAATATTGTTCCCATATGCTGGCCATAACTAACCAGAAAATGTGATAAAACAAAATTCTGTATATAATGGCAACAGAAACTGTTAGGTATAGAGAAAGAACTCTATCAAAAGATGGAACATTTATGAAGAAAATTATAAAACATTATTGAAGGACATAAGAGTAGATCTGATTAAAATCATAGACATGAATTTTCCCCAAATTATTCTCTAAACTCAATGCTTCCAACCAAAACCTTAACAGAATTTTTTGTGGAACTAGACAAACTGATATCAATTTCACTATTTTAAAACTGTGAAAAGCATTTTGAAAATAAGAAAAAGAGGAAGGCTTGTTTTTACCATATATTAAGGTTTATTATAAAGCCTTAGTACCTAAAATAGTGAAATATTAGAGCAGGGATAGAAAATAAACTAATGGCACAGAACAGAGATCCCAGAGATAGGCTCATACATATTGTGAACTTGATATATTTATTATGCAGGTGACAGTTGAGAAATGATGTACTACTCAATAAATGAAGAAATTGGTTTGCCATGTAGGGAAAAAAATGAAGTTAGGTTCTTACCTGACACATACACAAAAATAAAGTCCAGGTGGATTAAAGTGATGAATGAAATATGAAAAACAAATGTTAAACATGTTAGAAAGAAATATAGAGGAGATATCTCTGTTCTCAAGACAGGGAACACAAAACAGAAAAGCAGAAATGATTAAAGAAAGTATTGATAACATTAAAATTTAAATTTTTGGTATCACAAATGACCCCATAAACAAAGTTAAAAGTGGCAGATAGAAGAAAATATCTGCGACATATCAGAATACATAAAAGTTCATATCAGAATGTATAAAGAAATTCTACAAATCAGTAAGAAAAATGACCTAATCAAAAATTATGCAGAGGATATGAACAATCCACAGAAGAGGAAACCCAAACAACAAATAAATATATGGAAAGATACCCCCAATAACTAGGGATCAGAGAAAAAATAAAAGCAAAATGATATTCTGTTTCATACCAATCAGACTGGTGAAAATTAAAAAGTCTGACCCTGAGGATGTCAGGAAAGTCATGTGCAGCCAGTGCGAGAATAAATCAATACAATGAATTTAGAGATAAAAGTTAGGATATGGTCCTACTTAATGAAAATCCATACATTGTATAACCCAAGAATACCAATACCCAGCATATACTTCTGCATGTACACCCCAGAAAATTTTCACACATGAACATGAACACAAGGAGGCATACATAAGAATACTCATTGTAGTATTTTAAAAAAATAACAAAAAAAAAAAGAGAGAGAGAGAGAGAGAGAGCTGGAACTAAACTCAATGAAAAATATAAGGTTCAGGATAAATAAAATATGTTATATTCACATGTTTGAATACCATGCAGTAATTAAACTGAATGAACTAGATCTATCCTTTGTACCACCATAGATCTCAAAGATTAACTAGAATTTAAAAAGGGTGTTATGGTATCATTTATGTAATACGCAATGTTTTAAAAACGTGTAAATATACATAATTTTAATGAATATATCAAGGCACAAATGGGAACGAGAAAACCAGCTAGACAGTCCTTTATAGAAATTTTGCTGTGAATGGGAAGAGACGGCTGTAGCTAGAGGTGGGGTATAGTGTCTGAGGAGGGTTATGACTTTTTTTTAATGGACAACACTAGACTTTGTTTGCCTGTAGATGGGAATGAACCAGTAGAGAGACTTAAAATTATCATTCATAGAGAGCAAAATCCTCGAGAAGGTGGAGCCTGGGCTGAAGTGCAGAAGAGGAAGCTACAGTATTTTGGGGGAGAGATGGTGTTTGAACTTGGCAGTGGGATGAAGTGGAGAGGAATCTGTAGGTGTTTAGGAGGTAATCTCTTCAAAAGATGATGTTAATTGCATGGGTGGGTGGGGGACACTGTAAAGGGGCATCTGGTTTGACTCAAGGGAGAGACAAGAGGACCTCTGATCAACGATGGACCCTGTGCTTCCTGAGGGTGGCGGACTATGCTGTTTGTCACTCCTAAAGAACTTTTAATCTGTTCCAGAGAGAATCCTAATTATCCACCTCGTGTATTTATCTGTCCCCTGAGCACCAGTGCCTCTCACATACTGGGCGTTAGTCAGGTCCCCTCTCGGAAAGGCACACGGCGCGGGTTAGGCCTGCGTCTCCTGTATACTGGTTCTGTGATCTTCTAGAGCAAGTCACGCCACTTCCCTGGGCCTGTTTTCTATCCCCACAGGGTGGTTAACTGCCTTTGCCATTTGGCCCATGAAACACTGTGGGGAGGTGGCAAGTTAAGACTTCTGGAGACACACATAGTGGAATTCCTCCCGTGGGCCGCTCCCACCCAGCGCCCCAGGGCTTCCAGGTCCAGCCCCTTCCACCCGGCGCCTCTGTCCTATCTCCACCACCGCTCCCTCTCCACACAGGTCCTCGCTTTTTCTTCCTGCCTTATGACTCCAAGTCTCCCACCAGATTCTCACCTTCCTGCCTTATGGCTCCAAGTCTCCCACCAGACTCCCACCAGACTCCCACGAGTGGCTGTGGTCAGACTTCGCGGCCAAGGGCTTGAGGGCTCCGTGTAGGGGCGCCACGTCGCCCACCTGGCCACCCCTGCAGACTCTGGACCCTTCGCGGGCTAACAGGAAGCCCGGGGCAGGGGACACTCCCAACAGCGCTGCGGGCCTTAGGGGCCCCGCCTCCGGGAGTGACCACCCCTTATTCCCTGCGTGTGCACCTGTCTTGGAAGACAGCCCGAGGGCTCCGGGGTGCGAGCATAGATAAAGTCATCTGTCTGCGGGTCTGGGGGTCTGGCAGGCCTGTGAGCGCTTGCCTGAGTCTTCCCCTTTTCTGGCTCTCGGTAGCCGCTCCGCTGCCCCGCGGTCCCTTCTCTCTCCGCCCCCCCCCCTCCCCAGCCTCTCAGTCTTCCTGCGGGCTGAGCGCGGGGGAGCCTCACTCCGCCCTCCTCTGCAGGAGCCAACCGGCGTCCCCAGGGGCCGCTGGGTTCCCGCTGCAAGCCCATAAAACCCGCTCGGCTCCAGCCGCTGCGCTCCCCACTCCGCTGGTCAGGGCTCCGGGGGCCGCGCGGGCTTCGCTGGGGCTTCCAGCCCAGCGGGCGACGCCGATGGCCCCGATCTAGCTTCCAAGCAGGCTTAGGGACATTCGCTTTCTGCTTCCAGAAGAGTTGGGAGAAAGTGAATTTGGGGTGGATTGAGAAGTGGTGGCAGCTCCCCAGGCTGCCTTCCCTTCCCGAAGCCTCACCCTGCGCAGCCTCAAACATTCTTCTTTTCCTGACACCCTGTCCCCCTCCCTGAGCCCTCTTTCTCTTCGGGCCTAAGCTTCCGTCCCCATTGTGCCATCAGTATCTTCTCCTTCCTTATCTCTTTCTCTCTCCTCCTATTTCTCCCTATTTTCACTTTCTCCCTGTCATCCCCCACTTCTCCTTTCTTGCCATCTGAAACCTTCCCACCCCATTTCAGCCATCAAACCCCTCCACTTGCCCCCACACTGTCCGTCCCTTTCTCTCCCTCCTCCCCTTCCCTCCCAGCAAAGTCAGCCATGGATTCTGGTCCTGCCTGGGCTGCCAACCCCACTCCCCGGGGCACCTTGTCTGCCCCCAATGCCACCACACCCTGGCTGGGCCGGGATGAGGAACTGGCCAAGGTGGAGATCGTTGTCCTGGCCACGGTCCTGGTGCTGGCGACAGGGGGCAATCTGACTGTGCTGCTGACCCTGGGACAGCCAAACCGCAAGCGCTCCCGCATGCACCTGTTTGTTCTGCACCTAGCCCTGACTGACCTGGGTGTGGCGCTATTCCAAGTCCTGCCCCAGCTGCTGTGGGACATCACCTACCGCTTCCAGGGCCCTGACCTCCTCTGCCGGGCCATCAAGTATCTGCAGGTGCTCAGCATGTTCGCCTCCACCTACATGCTGCTGGCCATGACGCTGGACCGCTACCTGGCTGTTTGTCACCCCCTGCGCAGCCTCCAGCAGCCCAGCCAGTCCACCTACCCGCTCATCGCTGCTCCCTGGCTGCTGGCTGCCATCCTCAGCCTGCCTCAAGTCTTCATCTTTTCTTTGCGGGAGGTGATCCAGGGCACTGGGGTGCTGGACTGCTGGGCAGACTTCCACGTCCCTTGGGGACCTCGGGTCTATATCACCTGGACCACCCTGGCCATCTTTGTCCTGCCTGTGGCCATGCTCACGGCCTGCTATAGCCTCATCTACCATGAGATCTGTAAGAACCTAAAAATCAAGACACAGGCCCGGAAGGTGGAAGGAAGGGGCTGCAGGACTTGGGACAGGACCTCGCCTTCTGGCCCAGCTGCAGCTACACGGGGGCTGCCGTCCCGAGTCAGCAGCATCAGCGCCATCTCCAGGGCCAAGATCCAAACCGTGAAAATGACTTTTGTCATCGTGCTGGCCTACATCGCCTGCTGGGCACCCTTCTTCAGCGTCCAGATGTGGTCTGTGTGGGACAAGAATGCCCCCGATGAAGGCAAGTGTATGTCTGTGGGGGAGGGGGAGTGGAAAAGAGCAGGGAAGGGAGACCAGCAAGCTTAGGACAGGGTTCTAAAGCTTCCCAGGGCCTGGCCGGTAACAGATGAGCGAAGGAATTATCAAAGGTGGTGCCTGTCTCCCCCTCAAAGGGGCAGCTACAACTCCCACCCAGCCTACGGATGCCATGAGTACCTTTCATGTAAAATTTCCATCGTTTAAATTTGAGGCACTTAATTTAAACACTTAAAAATATTACGTGGCCTTAGGGAAATATGACTGTTGGCAGATTTGGCCAACCAACTAACTGCCAGTTTCACAGATGAGCATTAGAATCATAGAATGATGGAGTTGAAGAGAATTTTCAAACTGCCCAGGATGACAATTGGTGACCACAGCTGAGAGCTATGTCTCTCAGCACTCTACACTCCTGAGCCTGGGCATGACTTTGAACCCCTTCTCAACAACCCCTTCCAATTAATTAGCCTGTTGGCACATGACAACCCTGAAATGTCAAGTTCAACCCCTTCATTTTGCTAACGGGGAAAAGAGGCTCAGAGGGGAAAGGGGACTTGCCCAGGGCCACACAGCCTGGGAGTGGCAAAGTGAAGGGTCGGACCTAGGCCTGCTGTCTCCTTGTCTTTTTCCCTTACCCCCTGCTCTGTTCATAATCCTGGCTCTGAAAATGGTAAAAGCAGCGGGGTCTTCCTCCTACATGAAAAACAAAATGAGATCCTGGGACCCTCCATGAAGACCATGTTCCGGTCGGCACACAGGAGGCCTTGCTGTTGTCATTTTTCTGGGGTGAGGTCAAAGGAAACCTCCTGAGCTTTAGACACTGCCAGACGGTCCAGCCGTCTGGGGGTGAGTGTGTACTCACGAAGGTAAGGCTGGGTCTGGGCAGCTTAAATGTTGAGGAGGATGTTCAAAGACATGCCTTCTTGCTCCCCTAAGAGGAGTGGGATATAGGGACAAGTGCAAGTCAACTCGTCTAAGTGTTTCTGAATAGGGGTGACTGGGTGCTCTGCACTGCGAGCCATGTGCACAGCCTGGGATATATAATGGGTGCAGCATGTAACTGCCCGAGAGAGGCCCTGTGCACAGGTTCTTCTGGAAGCTTCCTGAGAGTTTGCTGACCAGCAGACCCAGGCTACCAATTCCTACCAGCTCCCAGGGAGTGGATCCTCCTTCCCTTGTGCTTTTGTTTCTAATCTCATTTTGCTCATCTAGGACACACTCAAGCAAATACTTTGCTTTTCTGGAAAGACTAAATAAGGGTCAGGCTGTTCATGAATTGCACACAACCCTGCAAGAGAAGTGTGAAAACAACACCAAACTATTACGGTCCCATTTTATCCCCTCTTTTGGACATCCCTCTGGACAAGAGGCTAGCTGCAAATTACCCTTTATGCAATGAATGTATTGATTCTAACCAACTGTAGGGACCCCCTGCTCTAGTCAAGCACAGAATAGAAGAAAGAAGAATAGTGCCAAGCACATTCAGTCCTTGGTGCTTACTGGTGGCCTTCTCTGCTTTATGTCTGAGTAACCTGAGACTCCGAGAGGTAAGATAACTGGTCCATAGGGCCACGGCGAGTAAGACATGGTGCCAGGACCCGGATCGAGGTCGTTATGGCCCAAGCATTAGACAAGACATGGCTTTACTTTCAACAATCCGGCTTAGCCAATGGCAGTGCGGGGGGGTGGGGGGGGTGTAGTCATTTGCCGCTTCATCGAGAAACCCACCAGAAGTTGGAGACCCTGCCACCCAGCCAGTGCAGGCTTCCCTGCTTGCCTGCTGTGTCACTGTCATTACGAACCTGCCCCTCAGTACACATGCCTCCCCTGCGGAGGAGGGATTTATCATCAGCAAGGGCCTCTCTGAGCAAGGAGGGCAGGAGCAACGTGTTACCTTACAAGACAGCGTGCTCTCTCAGAAAACTGGAAGCCCTTGGAGGCCCTTCTAGGGGCTGAGGTCCATTACTTTAAACCTACTTTCCAGTACACCCAGTTCCTGTCCATAGCACGCTGGCTTCCTGGGCTCTTGTCCCTGAGTCTCTGGTTGGAGCCTGACTGTCTCCTTGCCCTTGCTCCTGCCCCCGACAGTCAGCTGAGTTCCTGCTCGGATGCAGTGCGGCTTTGCCCTCAAGGGCTGAGAGGTGGAGCCTCTGCAGACCCTGGTGCTCGGGCCACATTTCTAGCTCCTGCACCGGGCCTGGCTCCGAGGGGGCCCAGTCAAACAGATGTTTCCCAGGCGAAGGAACTCATGGAAACCCTCAGCCCCTGGCCTAATCTAGGGAGCGGGTAGGGTGAACACCACCCCCTTAGCCAGAGCAACTTCCCACATCTTCCACAGCTCCCTGGTATTGAGAACTGGGGAGCAGGCCAGAATGTGGGGAAAATTGAAGGAGACTCTGTTTGTTGCTGGGATGGGTCCCTCCTCCACCTATAGATACTCCCCCCTGCCCCCCTCCTCTGCCCTACATGGGTCAGTCCAGGCCCAGATGCCTTCAGCTTCTCACCACTGTGCTTCATGTCTTCACTCAAACATTCTGACCCTGCGTCTTCCCTTTGCTTGGGCTATGAGTAGTTGCACGCATGAGCACACCTATGGGTGAGGTGCACAAGGAACCAGAGAATCTGAAGATTTCACAGTGCTTTACAGAGTAGGCACTTAAGCTTTGCCTCTGAGTTCACTGGCTGAAACTGCACAAGGGTGCAGGATGGCTGTCTTAGAGTCGGTGGACCCAGCTTCACGTCTGTGCCATAACCCCTAAGATTCCTTGGAGCTTTGACCTTGCTTTCAGCGATTCCACAGCCTCTGCTGAAGGTACCACAGTGTGCAACCTGCGCCACGGCTGGAACGTGGGGCATCCTGCAGGAGGTCGGAGTCCGCCCTGGAAGCTGTCCTACCGGCCTGTGGAGCTCCATGTAATCTTCAGAAAGAATCTTGTGTCTGGAAGACATCTTATCAGTCTGCACTCTCCTATTTTGCCTGCACAAGAGAGAAATTAGTTTTTCCCTGCGGGAGGGTGCGTTCCCTGGGTATAATCTCTGAGGACACAGAACAAGTATTCATCTGGAAGGGGACGCTTGGGTGCCCTGTTCCCAGCAGCTGCCCCTCTGTGCAGTCGGAGCTGATGCCATGGTACCTGCAGGGCGGTCGGGCTGATTGCCCTCCCAGGCCCCCAGCAATGGTCTGGCACTGGCAGTGCTCCCATGCTCGATGCCTGAGTGACAGGATGAGAGGCACTGCTCCGGAGGTGTCAAGGAAGAGAGTGTGTATCCGTATCTATGACATAAATGAGAATGGGGGTCAAAGGGGCCTGAGCTTGGCCTAGACTCATAGTTATTGTCCCTGCATGACAATACAAGTGTCTCATTCTAGATCTCCATCTGTTAGGGGATTCAAGGTCTAGGTTTTGGAACGAAGACACTGTGTCCTCTTTGGGCTGGTCCTGTCCCTGACTATGTTTACACCTTGAAAGTCAACTTGGAGCAAACCTCAGCTCCTACCCTGACCCTATAGTCACGGACAAGACCCACAGACAAGTCCCAGCTCCAAGTCCCAGCTGTGCTCCTTTCTAATTATAGAACCCGAGTGAGTCCTTTATCCTCTCTGGAAACTCAGTTTCCCCCTCTTCTCAGTGGGGTCTTGGACTCTCTCCCAGGTCCCATCCAGCTCTGTAATTCTGAGGCTTCTTGTGTTTATCCTTCTACAGATTCAACCAACGTGGCTTTCACCATCTCCATGCTCTTGGGCAACCTCAGCAGCTGTTGCAACCCCTGGGTTTACATGGGCTTCAACAGCCACCTGCGGCCGTGGCCCCTGCGCCGTCTGGCCTGCTGCAGGGGACCCCGGCCCCTCCCACAGCTCTCCGGCGACAGCCCCTCCAGCCGCCGCACCACGCTGCTGACCCGCTCCAGCGGCCTGCCCACCCTCACGCTCAGCCCCAGACTCAGAGGGGGCCATGCGCCCGAAGGCTCACTGAAGGACTCAGCGCAGGTGGACGGTGAAGCCTCCACTGAGACCATCGCCTTTAGGGAACACTCGCCCGCGGGGCCGGCGGAGGATCTCTGCTCATCTCAGCACTGGGTGTAAAAGCTGGGAGGGCCAGGGTTGGAGTTGGGGGGAGCCCACTTTGAGGCAGGGTGAGGGGGCCAGAATGGCCCACTACCCCTGGTGTTACAGGTGCCTCTGGTGTGTGGGCGGACGCTCGTTTGCTCCCAATCTCACACCCTGGGAATCAGAGAGAGTCAAAGCATCTGCTTCCCTGCTCCTGCGCCTTCACAGCGTGCGTGGGAGCCCACCCATGGGGTGGATGTGGTGCCCCAGGTCTCAGGCAGGCCTAGGCTGGCTCTGTCTGGGGGTCCGCAGGTGGCAGGGACTCAGGCTGGTCTCCTCCCGCCTTGACTATTTGTCCCCATCCTAACCTGACTAGCACACCCAGCGCAACCAGGAGCGGGGGAAGTGAAAACTTGCGAGAAGGATCCTATTTCTCTATCTAGATCCTGGATTTGTTTGTCTTGTGTAGGGGGGCTTCTTTCATGAAGGAAACCGAAGGGGGGATGCCCGCTGTGCCCGCCTGTCTGCTGAAGGGAGGTGCAGGATTTAGGACAGCACCTGCTACTAGTAAAAATTCCACAAATGCTAGTTTTTCTTCTCCCCATATCGTCCACTTTTATAGGACGGGTGACAGGGCAAAGCAGGCCCTCAGTGGTGTGACCCCCTGGGAGGGAGCATGTGAGGAAAGGAGGAGAGAAGAAGGTGAAAATGATCACAGTAAGATTAAGACTGGACAAAGCCTCTGAGGCAGCACGCGTTGGTGGCTCTCTTCCCTCCCCCAAGGGATCCACACTGCGCCTTCCTCTGGGACGGTCCAAAGGAGACATCCTTATAGAAAGTGTGGCTGGATCACGGCTCTGGATTTCCCTGAGGCTTTTCGCAGCTTCCCTACGAGCCATGCATGCTGTGAGGAAGTCAGGAGCCCAGGATTTGAGACTCAGCTCTGCCTTCAGGGGCATGTATGACCTTGGGCAGGTCCTCTCCCTTCTCTGGGCCTCCAGCTTCTCACCTGTTAGGACAGGGATAATCCATAAGGTCTTTCCCAGCTCTACCCTGTCGTGACTTTGCAAGACTGGGCATGGGGTTACAGTAGAGCCTTTTCTAACCAATACGCTCTAGAAGAATTGTTGGATTTTCATGACAATGACATTTATACCCTTTAACTCAATTCTGGTGACCGTGGGTCCTGCCATGGCCATACTGTCTACTTTTGCCCTCAATTCCGTGATGCTGAAACCGGGAGATGTAGCCGAGCTGGTGGAATCTGGGGTTTTGCCCTGCTCCTCCTCATTATCTCCAGTGGGATTTAGATCATGGGGTGGCTTCCCCCCCAATTCCAGTTCTAATCTAAGAGATGGCCTTGGTGGTGGAAAGAGCATCAGCAGAAAAGTCAGGAGAACCGGGTCTTGGTTCTGCCACCACTGATGACCAACATGGGGAGAATGCTGGCTAATCATCTCTGTTATGAGGGTCAAATAGGACCATGGATGTGAAAGAGGTTGGTAGACCCAGGAGCCCTCTACTAGTGGAAGGGGCTGCTAATCTAATTAAGAGCTCCTGAGAGCAGCTCCAGGGAACAGGTTCTCTGCCCTCTACTCCTAGGAAACTGCAGGAAATGGCTGTAAGTTTGAGCTTTAAGAGGTCACTCAGCTCTGAGAAGCCTCCTTTGGCTTCCTTAAAAGAACCTAAACTGACTGTTGTGAGTGAGCAAAGTGTCCCTAGCCTTCAGTGCTAAAGAACCAGGGAGTGGGACACAGACCCTAATGGGACCAAGGCTCAAGGCAGATGTGAGGGCCCACGGTCTCTCTTCACTGTGTTCTGTTGCCCATGTCAGTCCCTGACATCCAACCACTTCTTCCTTGTCCATCCATCCTGGTGGAGCTGGGCTCAGGAGGCTCCCATGCCCTCATGAGCTGCTGAAGTTTCTCCTGCTCTGCGTATATAAGCCAACCCCCCTCCCCCTTCACACCACGGGTCCCGTCCCTCGTGCCCAAGTCAGTACTGGGCAAACCGTTGCTCATCACGATAACTGGGAGGTAGAAGGGACACCAGCGTTGTGCTCCAAAGACCTGGGTTTGAGTCCTGCTCTTGTCCCCCTTCTATCTGTATGATCTTGGGCAAGTCCTCTAATCCCTCTGAGCAATGGTTTCCTCCTTAAATAGAAACAACAATGCCTACCTTGTTGGGGGGATGTGGTGGGCTGTAAGACTGTAGACCACAGAACACTCTACAGGGAAGATGATGATGGCCTGGCTCCAGATTGCGTCTGGTGAGTAACCTCCTATGGGAAGCATGAAGGAAGGTTTCTGTTGTCTGGGGTTAATCTCACTTCTGACAGCTAACCCCAGGAGAAATGGAACCGGCTGTTTCTGGGCTGGGCACTTTTGTGAAATGTTTATGCCATCCTGTGGACTCTACAGAATACAGTACTCAGTCCCTTAGAACCCACATGAGATCAGGGGGGTAGGGGGTGGCCAGGGCCGAGAACGGCAGGAGGTGAATTTGTTGACTATGGTGATTTCTCAGAATGGTTTTTTTATGTTTGGTATAGGCCAGTAAGTTTCCAGATATCCCTCTCTGTGTTTTGTATGTAAATAGGTCTTTTATTTATCAAGGGGCTCTAGACTAAGCCCAGGCTGCCGCAGCTCAATCCTGGGTCAGGCATCCAGAGATGGGGTTAAAACTGACCAATAAAACTCCTTAATAACCAGGAAATTTCTGGGCATGTTTGTTTCCTAGGAGCAGGGACAACGGAATATTCAATCTGAAATACAATTTGCTCCCCTTGAATGGGGAAGAGAGTTTGAGGGGGTGGGGAGCGACCTTCATCCACTTAAGAGGGAAACAAGAGTGTCCTGGGATTTGCCCTGGAGTCACAAGGTGGCAGTATGGAGCTGAAAGTGAGTCTGAAGCTGACCTGACCCACAGGGAAGGCGGGGAAAGTCACTCAGCCCCTCAGCTCTAATACCTACTACCTTTCCCTACAAATGGCTTCTCCATTTGACCCAGTTCTCCAGAGATAACCTGGACACATGCTTCTCTCTCTCTAAGCTCACGGAGGATGTATTTGTCAAGAAAGGGCAAAGAACAAGGGCAAGGTGAGGGACGGAGTGTAGAAATTTTTGCCTGAAAAGATGAGTGTTTGAGAGAGCGAGCGGGACCTCAAAAACACAGATAAGCTGGAGTTATTATAATGTGTTCAGTTTAGAGGCCGGGGCTTGGAGTAGGAGGCTTTTTGAGAGCCCCTCTGGGCCCAGAAATGTGTCCTGATCCCGGAAGCAAAAAGTCCACTGATGGTGGGCATAAAACACCTCCTTACCCTAATGGGTCTTGTTGGCCAATAATACAGCATCACTCATGGAGTTCTGCTGCAGTTGTAGTGGGCATTTGGATACTGGCTCCTTTAGACCAAGACTCTGTTGACCACAAGTCACATTTATTCTGGTCTACTATAGAGTCCCAGTTCATTATTGGCATGTAATCAACCATCTACTTGTCACCAGTAGCAAACCAGTTTCTTTGTATCTTGTAAGATAAATCTGAAGAGATTTTTATCCAGTCCACATTCACGGGGGAATCCAGAGTGGGGCAGCATGGCCGTTTCCTGGATGTTCCGATGGCGTACAACATGGGAGAAAGTGACTTCATTTTGCTGAACGCTGAGCTCCTCAAAAGGTGATTACTCATACAGGCGACCATTCATGCAGATTTCCACAGCTGACCTTCCGAGTTCGTGGAGGTAGAAAAGACGTTGTATTTCTAGCAACATGGTTAGCAATGAATTTGAGGATCGCTTCAAATTGTTAGCTGGCCTCAGTCATCAGCTTGTTGGCCCGAACTCCTTAGGACATGAAACCAGCCCTCCTCTTCCCTTATCAAGGCATCTGCAGAAGTCATCTGCACCATCGACGGTCAGCCCCATCTCTGTTAGTCACTGGGCAGAGTCTCACGTTCAATTCTATTTAGAGACAGCATCCTCCAAGAACGGATGAACAATGGGGCCAGGGGCTAATTTTATAACCTCCGGGATATATTTATTTGCTACAAATATCATACCTTGGAAGCCAATCAGAGCGGAGTTCATTACAGACCTTAATCAAATGGTCAGTGGCATTCAGATCTCTGTGCTCGCCGACCTCAACTCCCCGCTCCAGGGGGCCCAGGCATGGACTCCTGTGGTTCAGGATGGGTCAGTCCCTGGAACATTTATGGAAAGCCTGCATCGGGTAGGCCTGCTCTCTCTCCTTCTGCCTCTTCTCCCATCAATCAATTTTTCAGCCTTCTTTCTAAACTGAGATCAGAAATCACCCTTCTCTGGGATGTTTTCACTGATGACGTCTGATCTCAACAGTCCATACCCAATCTGCCCAAACATTTATAGGGTCTGCTTTCATTGTTTTGTGTTAATTCCCTTTTGTCACATGTTTGGTATGTGTTCTTGCCTGCCCCCACAACTGGGTCCTAAGTGCCTTGACCTCACCCACCCAGATGTTCAAGTGTTCTTTTAACGTGTTCTTCTCAGAATCCCAGCCTTTACAGAATCCTGCGGAAAGGAGGCCCTCTACCTGAGCTACTTCAATCGTCCTCTCTCCTGGTGTGGGACCTGTCTCAGCGGTGGCCCTGCCCAGCCTCCCTTGGGTGTATGGCAACTCGTCTGAACCTCTTCAACGCACCCTTAAATTCTTTTTTTCCTTTTTCAAAGAGATCAGTAAGAAGTGGAGTTTCATTTCTAGATACAAAGACAGTGTTGCTGGTGGTGACATTGTGGGTGTTTCTTCCTCATTCTGCCCCTCTAATCAATAAAATTTCTTTTTCCCTATTAAGAAAAGCTTTCTAAGCAGATGTCTTAGTCCGCTTAGTCTGCCATAACAAAATGCCACAAACTGGGTGGCTTATAAACAACAGAACTTCCTTTCTCTCAGTTTTGGAGGCTAGAAGTCCAGCATCAGGGTGCCAGCACGGTGGATGAGGGCCCTCTTTGGGGTTGAAGAGGTTACATGGGTTGTATTCTCGCAAAGCAAAAGGGGCTAAGGAGCTCCGTGGGGTCTTTCTGACAAAAGCACTAATCCCACACGTGAGAGCAACACCCTCCCCATCTAATCACACCCAAAGGCCCCACCCCTTAATGCCATCACCTTGGGGGTTAGGATTTCAACATAGGAATTTAAGGGGGCACAGACATTCGAATCGTAGCAGGAGAGGAACCACAATCATAGCCAAGAGGTGGAGGGACGCATAGACCGGCAGAACTGCGCAGCCTCAGAAACCCAAACCGGAACCGTGTCTTCAGATCATCTTGGGGAAGAGGAGCCTGGGAAGATGAAAGCGGTCCCCTGCTCTCGGTACCAGCGCTAGAAGGGTCGTCTGCAGCCAGCAGGTGGAGCCCAGGTAACAAATCTTCTCCAAGACCTGAAGGCTCCTCCTCTAGGGTTTGAACTTGGTGAGGCGTGCTCCTAGGGCGTCCATTGTTTGAGTTGTTTGTTTAGCTGTTGTGAGCAAATTTCTTTTCATTCTGTCTTAATTGGCTGTTGGAAAAACTATATTTGGATATGTTCTCATTATCAATTTTAAAACATGTTAAGTTAGTTTTCCGAGGTTTTGGAGGAGGAAGGTAGCTACAAACGATGACTAATTTTATCCCCCTTTCCAACAGTAACAGCCCTTATTTTTGTCAACTGTTTTATTCCACTGATGAGAACTTCTAGGGCCGTGTCAGATGAAGGAAGTGACAGGCTGGAGGACACTTTTACTCTGTTCATGATTGAATAAAACTGCGTCTAGGACCTTACCGATAAGTATCATGCCATCAGCTGATTTGAGATAAGCTGTTCTTCATCCAGTTAAGAAAGTGCCCTTTTATTCCTAATCAGCTTAAAACCAACCAACCAACAACAAACCAGAAAAGAATATTGCATTTTATTGGGTTGAATTTGGGGAGATTTTTTTTCCCTGGAATCACAGATTGTGATGCTAGTTGGTATTTACCGGGGCTCTGTCAGCTTTCGTGCCTAAGAAACAGGGAATTCACAGGTGGAATGATGGTGAGCTTTCTGAGTGACCTACTTACAGTGCTGAGGGAAGGGCAGCATTGCTCAGCAAGAGACAGCCCTGAAAAGGGGCAGCATGCAAGATCAGGCAAGAGGAAATGAAGATGCGGTGGTCACCATTTTATTTAAAACTTTTAAGGAAGTTGTCTGTTGCCAAACATTAAAGAGCTCAAAGAGTCATTTAATGGTAAGACTGCCAAACAGAACTCTACTACAGCTGATGCAAAAAAAATTTTCACAATTTTCTCTGGAGAAAGACTTTCCTGCTTTCTCTACTGATATCTCCACTCATTCATGCTGATCCTGGAAGTTCTTCTTGACATCTGATCTGAATCCTTCTTGTTGAGTGAGATACAGGCCTACTTATTCTCCTATGCCTTGTTCAAAAAAAAAAAAAAGTCCTGCCCCTACAAAATAAGTGCGAGAATTTCTAGAGAACCTCATCCCATTAAAAACCTAGAATTCACATGGCCACCTGAGTGTATTCCACCAGCTCAGAGTCGTCAGGGCTCACAAAAGTCCAGAAATTGGGCTTGCAGCTTTTTGGATTGACATTCACATAATCTGTGGTTTCCTTTATGTTCGCATAGTCCAGGGCAGATTCATTTTTTAGTTCTCCAGGGGTGGAAAAGACCACTTGTGTGTAATTCATATCCTGGGTGGCCTTGGGGAGGAGAGAAATGTGGGTCAAGGTTCCTACCAGGGTCAGAGGAAGGGGGGGCCCCAGGATGGAACTCTCCCTCGGGGAGGCTTGGCTCCCCCTAGGCTGGAAGGGAAAGAAGCTGGCTCCCAGGGACCTGGGTTGGAGAGCGGGGAAGGGGGAAATGGGGAAGACTGCCCATGGCTAGTGCCTCCTGTCTGTCGGGAATTAATGGGTTAAGGAAAGATGTGGAGACTGAATCCCAGTGAGGTCAGGACTCAAAGCGGACTTTGACCCAGTGACTGGGGTACAGGGATGAGGAGGTGACCCATTGGCACTTGCCTTTTTACAGCCTACTGAGACCCCCTTTTGGGTGGATGACCCATGTTGCTGTGAGCTTGCCCCCCTAAGCCCCCCATCACCTAAGGATGCTGTAAAGGTTCAAGAAGCCCCGCCTTCCCTGCTCCCATCTCTGTAGCTGGGGTGGCCTGGGTGGTGCTCAGTCTTGTACAGCAAAGACCCCAACTGCATATGAAAGGCTGGGATCACTAGGGGTGTCCGTTACCTGGCAGGCTGGAGACGAGCTGTCTGAGCTTTCCGAGCTGTCAGAGCTATCTGAGGATGTGTTGCTGTCGTCTAGGGAGAAATAGAAACTGTTCTTCTATGGAAAGCCAGGGGGTGTTAGCCCGGGATTGACACAATGGGAGGGAGAAGGAGACAAAGATAGGCCGAACCAGCCTCACAAAGCCAAGAGGGGAAGAGAGATACAGAGCCCCCGCAAAAAAGAAAGAAGGAATTGAACAAAGAAAGGGTGGGGGGAGAGAGCCCCCCCCCCAAATAGGCAGGAATGCGCCCAAGAGTCCAGGCACCACCGCTCTGTCCAGCTCCATCTAAAACCAATAGCCAACGCCCCGGAGCTGGGCTGCATTGGGAGGCGCAAGCAGGGACAGGCTGACACAGTACGGCCCCGGGCCAACAGCTGGGCCTCTGCAGTCACGGGCACAGGTTTTGTTCTAGACCCATCACTAACTCTAGGCAGGTGACATCCCTTTTTGTGTCTGGTTTTGCTCCCTGTGAAGCAAGAGGGTTGGATGATGATCTCTGAGGTCCCTGCCAACCAGAGTCTCTGATTCTCTGGCCGGAGCTAGGGCCAGGGTCCCAACGAGGCCAGCACCCCTCACTGAATTCACGTGAGCGCTCTCTTCTGGTTCTCACATGCACCGAGCTCTTATCTCAGTGCCTGGGAAGCCTGACCACCAGATCCCTCCAACTGAAAAGATAAAATTAGAAGGTTGGAGCAAATGCAAGCAATCAAGAGATTACCCCTGGGAAACAGTGTGATCTCGGGGGAGTGAGTAGACTGGGGGAGTTGTCTTGCTGTGGAAGCAGCCATTTCCACTGTGTGAACGGCAGCCTGGTGCGTCTCCCCAGCTCTGAGAGAGAAAACAAGAGGGTGGGGTTCCTGTTGGTTCCCTCGCCCGAGGGGGGATGGGGATTTGAACTATCACCAAGACTCGTATTTATTAAAACCCCCAGATCCCATGGCCAGAGGCAGGCAGAGGCCGTTGACATCTCGGCTGCCTCACTAACGGGCCAGGTGGAAGAACAGGTGCCAGAGTATTACAAAGACAGGAGCAGAGACAGCCCCAAGCCCCCTCTGCAGTGGCTCCCACTGGACCAAACCTGGAAAAGAACTTAGATCCACACAAACCCAGCAAGATGGGCCCCATGTGACAGGAAGAGCAGCTTCCTGAAAAAGGTAGGCTGGCCAGGCCCTCCCTGAGGTGCGTGCAAGGAACCCTCCAGCCGGGGATTGGGCAGGTGAGGACAGAGCTGGGCTGCAGCAGGGCGGCTCCCAGGGGGCCCGGACGGAGCAGAAGAAGCTTTAGGACAAGACCGCCCCCCCACCCCCGCGCCCCATTACTCACGTTTATAATGGGGCTCAGATGCAGGAATGCCTGGAGTCTCCTCCTTGACAGCAAGTAGCTGATGGTGGGCAGGGCTGGGCCTCGGGGCCTGGAGCCTGGCCCCTTTCAGTATCCGCTCACTCTCCTTGGCTAAAGGGGACAGGGCAGGGGTCAAACGCGGCAGCTCTCCAGGTCAGGCACATCCTGTCTCTGAGCACTGCCCGCGATAGGGCAAAATATTCAGAGGGACCTCTTCAAACCTCAGCCCTCCACTCAAAACCCGGCAGCACCCCTCGCCTGGCTTGGAGTACAAACTGAAATCCCAGCCTCCAAAGGGCCTCCATGGCCTCACTGTTCCTCCTCTCAGTTCCAGCCACCTTGGCCTCTCCGCTCCTGCTGTTCTCTACCAAGTACCCTTCTGCCTCAGGGCCTTTGCAAATGCAGCTCACTTCCTCACTTCCAGAGGTTTATAGTCGGCATGCCAGTGATGCTGGCCATCATCCAGTTCCTCTCTCCTTGCCTTGTTTCATCTTCTTCCCTAGGATTCACCATAATCTAACACACGTGTATATTGCCTGTTTATCTAGTTTGTTGTCTGTGCCCCCCAAGGAATGTAAGTTAGAGAAGGACAGGGAATTTTGTTTTGTTCCCTGTTGTATTGAATGAATGAATGAATGAATGAATGAATGGCTCGAGAAGTCTTTCATTATTTACTTCCTTTATTTCTTTATTTTAGACTTCCTTTATTTTACTTTCCCTAATTATAATGCCATCCCAGAAGAGAACTTCTCTATTTTCCATTGTGAATCAGTTCAAGAGTTTAAGCTAATCTCTTAGTATCCCTCCGTTGGAACTCAAAGCCACTTCTTCACGTTGAGTCCTTTGGTGGTGATGAAGAAAATTAGTTAGACCCAGGCTAAATGAGCCCACCCTCATGAGCATTGCAGGAGCTAGTCTTAGGTAGAAGGGCTGGGCGGTGGAAGGGCTCTGGGCTGTCATTCCCAACTGGAAATAGGTTGGGTCAGAGTGGGGATTACCCAGTAAGGGGTGATCTGGCCAGTGGATCCTCAAGTAGGTATTCCGGGGTACTCGGGGGCTCGTCTTGCTGTAGGCTCGGGGATGGTCCCTGCACGTGGCTAGGAGGGAAGAGAATGCCAGTCCACTTACCCATGTGCCTGCTGAGCAGGTAGCTGATGGCAGCAAAGAGACAGGCCTGTAGGACGAGCGACACCACTGCAATCACTAACCCATGCCAGAGTTTCATGCTTCTGTTGGGAGAGGAGAAGGGTTGGAGTTAGAGGTTGCAGTGATTCCAATATAGCTGCACACCCGTCCTGGCCCCCCAGCCAGAGACAGCCATCCAGTGTTGCTCTGTGTCTCAGGGCCGGTCCCTTTGCCTCTCTGGATGGTAAGACACGGGGAGCCAGGGAGGGTGGTGTGCATGCTTGGAAGCCAGCTACACCCATCAGCCTGATTGAAACCCCACTCACTCTGTCAGCATGATGAGCTTGCAGGGCGGCGGTGGGGTGTCAGTGAGCCTCAGGCTCTTCCGGGGGCAGAAGGAAGAGACGTGGGGGGCACCACGCTGGGCACCTGGTCTGCACACAGTGCCACCCGCAGGACCGTCCGGGAGAACTGCAGGAGGCAATGTGGTTGCTCAGGACTCCAGGGCTCTACACCCCAGTTCCCCTTGGGCAAACTCGGCTGCTCCGGGGTCACTGGCTTTCCTCTCCCCAGATTTCAGTTTCTGAATCTATAAAATAGGCAGTAACTAGTCGTTAGATATTAGCACCTGACAGCAGTGGGGGGGGGGCACTCACTCGATGCAGACCTCAACTCTGAGTCCCATCCTACCTCGTTCACGCGGCCCCATGGCTGAGATGTCATGAGCCCTCCTTTAATAACGAGCCTATGAGATTGCGACAGCAGAGGGACACGTCTGAAGTCACACAGCTGGCAAGCGGCTGGGCCTGGGTTTGGGCTCTAAACCCAAGGCTACAGTTTCAACCCCTGGTCTCGGCTCCCAGAGAGCCTGCTGCAGGAAGTGCCAAGGGTTCCACTGGAGCAAATACAGTGGCAGAGAGTCATGAAAGAAATCCAGATCTTAAATACACACACCAGGCGTGGTTTCATGGGGTTTTAGGACCAAGGTGCTGGATGCTGTTATACGCATGAATACATTGATTTTAAAAATCAGCTTATGCATTTCATCAGCATGTTGCTGAATATGGAGTTTACTACAAGACAAAGGCAGGATAATTTCAAAGCTTTTTTTTTTTTTAAGATTTTATTTATTTATTTGACAGAGTGAGACACAGCGAGAGAGGGACACAAGCAGGGGGAGCAGGAGAGGGAGGAGCAGGCTTCCTGCCGAGCAGAGAGCCCGATGCGGGGCTCGATTCCAGGACCCTGAGATCAGGACCCAAGCCTAAGGTAGATGCTTAATGACTGAGCCACCCAGGCGCCCCAATTTCAAAGCTTTTGAAAGGATACTTACTCAGCACTGAGACCACCTACTTTCCCGCTACAGGCTGTAAACCTTTAATAGACTTTTACTGCCATTGTGGCTTATTTTCCCCATCAGGGTTTCCAAGTGCTAAGGGCGTTGTGGAAAGTCCTGAAAACTTTTGTTTTTATTGTGGTTTTCACACAGGGGCTTTCTAAGATCAGAACTTGGACCAAGAGTCGAGAGAGAGAGAAGGCGGTGATGGGCGGGAAGATGTGTGGGGTTTGCCACCAAAGCCTCCCAGGGCTGTGGGTTATTGGCCAGTTGGAAGTTTCCAGAGAGAAAACACCACCATCTCTTCAACACCTACAAAGCTAGCCCTTGGCAATGACTTTAAAAGATCAAAAGTTAGAAGCAACACATAGCCAACTTATTCATCATACATCTTTAACCCACCCCCTTTTCTATATAATAAGTTCTAGTTACTTCTCCCGCTACCTTTTGCTTTTCAAGCTGAATGTGTCGGGTTGCCTCATGAGCATCAGGTGCTGGTAAAAAAGGGGCTACGGGGGAGCAGGAGGTAGACATAACCCAGACAGGCAGGTGAGAAAGGACTCCAGGAAGTTCCCAAAGTCCATAGACAAGTGGGTAGAAAATCCAGTATTCACCCCCCTCCATCCCCCCCACCCCCTGGGGATCAGCAAACCCCAGAAAGAAAGCTCAGTCAAAAATGACTTGTGCACAAAATAAAATTTGCAGAGCTGGAAATAAAACACAAAAATGAAGCAAAATGAGGATTTTTCAGGATAAAAACAATGATCTTGAAGGATTGGGCAACTTGATTGAAAAAAGGCATAGATAATAGTTTTAATGCCTTGCCCTTGCCTTATTTTGGATAAACCCTCTTAAAATTTCGACAGGTACTGATTTCTCAAGCAAATTCCAGTATTGATTTCCGGGGCAGCTGCAAAAGGGCGATTGGCCTTTACCAGGAGAGCTTTATTGAATCACAAAAGACATGAAAATGGGACTAGAAGCGAGGCCAGTGTGTCTGGGAAACCAAGTGGTATTCCAGTTTTAAAGGCGCTCTAGTGCTTTAGTATTGATTACCTCATCTTCAGTGACTCATTTGTCCTTAATCACAGAAATTATTCTCCTTCTTTCATCAAAGGGGATGGACAGAAAGCCACTAAGGGCTGTGTTCTGAAACCACACTCAAATTTTAATTTTTTAAGGCTCCTCTCTCTCCTTATTTATTAAAAATTAAACAACCAACAGACATTTGTGGTGGAATTTAAAATGCAAATAAGCAAAACATTTCACAAAACCACCCACATTTTATTCCATAACATTTTCTACATATTTTCATAACTATAGGTACTCTGTATATGTGTGCATGTAAATATATGTATACACTTATACAATCTTTTCTAAACACGGCATCATACTGATTAGCAGCTTTTCCTCTTCGCTGACTACACTGTAAACATGTTTCCAGATCAGAAAAGCCTCCATTAAAAATTTCCAAACTGGAGGCCCACAGGCCAAATTCGGCACCAAGGTGATTTTGTTTAATGAGATGCTTTCTCAAGACTTGGATTTCGATGCCCTGAGATTCTTCAGTCCCTGACTGACCCCTGAAGTCATTTGAGTTTGCTAACCTTGAGTTTTATGGCATCATTGTGAATTACTGCTATTCCTACTATTCGCCTTTATCAGTGTTTCTGAGCACTTTCTGAGATCTAGCACCAACAGATCTTTTGTTGTTGTCTAAAACTGTTTTGTACTGTGCTGGACATTCAGCAACCCGAGAGACCACCATCATAACACACGTTAATGTGACAACCAAAATGACCAAAAATGGCCCTACACATTTCCAAATGCCCCACCCCGAGGCAACAACTCCTGCCCCCAGTTGAGAATCACTGCATTAAATCAGTGTTCCATTATTTTAAAACCAATGTCTTATTTTGGCTCTTTATACAAAACTATAATGCCTATACTTTCTTCCATCGTTTTAACATATTATGAACATCTTACTAGCCAAATGACACACAGTACCTGGGCCAGGATATAGACTAAAGTCCAACAGACATCAGTAAGAATCCAAGTTCTGTCCCCTTCTAGGTGGGAATTATTAAACTTCTCAGGACCTCGGCTTCTGGACCGGAAGGTGGGGAGAATGACAGCACCTGCCTGTGGGCATTCTTGTGTGGGCTCAAGGCCCTGTGCTGCTCCTAAAGACCAGTGTACAATGTTCGGCACGTGGGAAGCACTCAGTGACTACGGATGGGCCCCTACGACAGTTTGACTTAATGATTTCTAGACGTGACAAGCATACCCATTCAGTAGAACTGGACTTGGAACTTTGAATTTGGATCTGTTCATGGGCTGGCCATAAGCCGTGCAGTACCCTGTCTGATGCTGGGCAGCTCCCAGTCAGCTATGCGACCACGAGAGTCCACAACCTATACACTCACAACCCTTCTGTACCCCTACAAGCATTCTGTTCTTCACTTCCAGTGCAGGGTTCAATACGCTACGTGAGATACTCAACACTTTGCTATACAATAGGCTCTGTATCAGATGATCTTTGCCCAACTGTAGGCTAATGTAAGTGTTCTGAGCTTGTTTAAGATGGGCTAGGCGAAGCTATGCTTAGTACGTTAGGGGGAGTAAATGCGTTTCTGACAGGATATTTTCAGTTTACGATGGGATTATAGGGACCTGACCCTGTTGTAAATGGAGGAAGATGTGAAATGCTTCACCAAGATGGCGCCTAGAGGAGAGCTATTAAAATCGAGTTGGTCTGTTTTAGGAAACTCAGACGTTCACGTTGCGTATAGTTTGTAGATAAGATCCGGGACAGGATGAGGTATGAAAATGATGACAGATGTCATTATTTAAGTGGCTAATGGCCCCTAACCGCAATGAACAGGTTGTTCCTTGGGGTCTAATTGCAGATTGCTGATCAGACAGTGGGCAAAAACATCTGCTCATTTGCACCTCCCCCCGCACACATACCAAATAACAAGGAAATGAGCAAATTAGGGTAATTAGGTTGTGAAAAAACTGCCTGGACCATGAGAGAGTTTGCCACTGGCTCATTCCATCATCAAGACTTGGACTGTCCTGCCATCTTCCGCACGCTGAGTTTTGACACCGAAACCAACACTAACATAGCTCCCTGCCAGGGACCTGCCAACCCCACTCCAGCAGAGTGCTGGGAGCATTTGCTCTATTCGCTTCAAGCCTGCGTGGAAATCCCAAGACCTCCAGTTAGGCGGGGATCCCATCATATTGCTTCCCCCCCCACCTTTTTTTTTAAGATTTTATTTATTTATTTGACAGAGAGAGAGCATAAGCAGGGGGAGCAGCAGAGGGGGAGCGAGAAGCAGGCTCCCCGCTGAGCAGGGAGCCCGACACGGGGCCTGATCCCAGGACCCCAGGATTGTGACCTGAGCCGAAGGCAGATGCTTCACCAACTGGGCCACCCAGGCGCCCCTTACTTCCCCTTTCTAATGATAGAGGAGATTTCATGGGGCCTTTGTAGTCCATACAGCCTAACATGGAGGTGAAATAATAAAGACACACCTCGTTCCTGCCTGACATGCTTTCTTTGGAGAGAGTCATCCTATGAAGAGTGGTTTAGAACACGAGCACAATAGAAGATGACTTATATGAAAACCATATGGATTATAATAATCAATAATTGCTATCAATACTGTTAAGGTTTTATCAATCTTTTTTTTTTTTTTTACAGAAAGAGAGAGCACACAAGCAGGGGGAGCGGCAGGCAGAGGGAGAAGCAGGCCCCCCACTGAGCAGGGAGCCCGATGCAGGGCTCTTCACCGGACCCTGGGGTCATGACCTGAGCCGAAGGCAGACGCTTAACTGACTGAGCCACCCAGGCGTCCCTTAAAAAGATTTTTTTTGCAATCTTCATTAATTTATTGTTTTTAAAATTAAAATTTTGAGCGATAGCACAGCTGAATGATGTGGAAAGAGAACAAGCCAAAAAGATGAGAGCATGGCTTCTCCTCCCAGCCCTACTGCTTGCTCACCGTGGAACTGAGACAAGTAGAAGTCCTTTCTAGGCCCTGGTGAATGAAGGGCTGGACACTTAAAAGCCCTCCTCAGGCTCTTTCAAGCTCCAAGCATTCTGCTTTTTAAAGACTGAAGTAGGGGG